GCTGTTCGCATGGTCCAAAATGAAGCAGCAGATTGGACAGTATGTGCAGGGATGTGCGGTCTGCCAACAAGCTAAGCCAAAGCAGGTTAAATACCCAGGTTTACTCGAACCAATCCTGCTGCCAGAAGGAGCCTGGAAAGTCGTGACGATGGATTTCATTGACGGCCTCCCGCAGTCGGGAAAGGCAAACTGCATCTTGGTATTCATGGATAAATTCACACGCTACACTAACTTTCTGCCTCTTCGGCATCCATTCACTGCAGCCCGAGTGGCAAGGGCTTATCTGGATAATGTCTACAGACTCCATGGATTACCAAAAGCCATCATCTGGGACAGAGATCTAGTTTTCACGAGCAAATTCTAGCGTGAGTTGTTTGCCAACATTGGGACTAAACTCCAGATGAGCACTCCATATCACCCATAAACTGATGGGAAATCGGAGAGGGTCAATCAATGTCTTGAAATCTATTTGAGGTGCTTCATTCATGCGTGTCCCAATCACTAGAGCCAATTCCCCTCCCTTGCCGAATTCTGGTACAACTCCAGCTACTACTCAGCCCTGGACATGTCACCTTTCCAAGCATTGTATGGGCATGAACCACGGCACTGGGGGATTGAAGCAGCAGCCGTGTGCAAAATACCAGAGATTAAAGATTGGCTAGAAGAAAGAAAGACTATGCAATAAGTACTCAAGCAGCACCTGCACCGCACCTGGCACATTATGAAGGTCCAGGCAAACAAAAAGTGATCAGAGTGGGAGTTCGCTGTGGGGGATTCTGTATTTTTCAAGTTACAACCGTATGTGCAGTCGTTAGTACATTGCCGAGCCAACCACAAACTGGCGTTCAAGTACTTTGGTCCATTCAAGGTGTTACGCCGGATCAATCCTGTGGCGTATGAACTAGAGCTACCTCAGGAATCACGAATACATCATGTCGTCCACGTCTCTCAACTGCGGCAAACGCTCTCGCCAGGTACCTCTGCATCAACCACCCTGCCAGTTCCACATTCTTCTGAACGGTTGCCTGTCGAGCTGCTGGACAAGCGTTGGGGCAAACCTTGTCTGGCCGGCACGAGCAATACTTGTTGCGCTGGTCAGATTCTGAGTTATTGGACGCATCGTGGGAGGACGCGCTTGTGCTCAAGGGTCGCTACCCGTCTATGGCAGCTTGGGGATAAGCATGCTCTCAAGGAGCAGGGGATGTCAGCATCCCAGGTTAAGAGACGAACAGCAGCAACTAGAATACTGCCAGAACAGTCAAGGGAGCCAACGTGGCAGCAGGGACTCGATCTTCGACCAATCAGGGACAAGAGCGCGTCATCGCCAAGACACCTAGGATCAAACACCCGAACCGTAGGTTCATGGGCCCGGAGTGGGGGAACCCTTCTTAAGCCAGGCAGAGTAAGGCGAACGGCATCCAGTGGGATCAGACAACGGCACGGCTCTCCTTTCACTTTCTCCTTTCTTCCCCACAGACTCGTTGTATCTCTGTAAGCTACCTTGTGAGTGATAAATTCTAGATCGAGATCGATTGCCTAACAATTTTGTAAGATTACAAGAGCGGAGTGACAGTTCCCCAAAATACCAAGGAGTTCAATCTACTTGTGGTAATACGACATTGCTCCACTAATATCATTATTAGACATCTCAAAGTATGAATGTGTGATTGGAAGATAATTATTAATACTTTACATGTGAACGTAGACACATGGATGTATATGTATCTATGTACTCATACATATATATAGCCTTACAAATCCATGTCATCCACTTTGCCCTAGGCTCCTCCTAACCATAGTGCATAGAATCGATAAACCAGATCAAAACATACATATTCGTTTCCAACCTGGCAAGGGTGGTCCTGTGATGTAGCTAGCAAGGGCTACAAGGCGACCAAGTCGCACTGGAGTTGTGGCTGGCGTGCGAGCAGGGGGAGTCAGAGTAGCGGCTCAAGGGGGAAACAATATTGATGATCAACTATTGACTAATGCTACTAATAGCATGCATGAGCATTGTGATGGTGATGAAACAGGAGTAAACAACAAAGAAAATGAAGAAAATGTAGCCCAAAATCACAAAAATGGTGCAAAGTTTGGGCCTCATTTTATGTGTCCTGAAACAAGAGACAGATCGCCCTCCGGATCAGTTCTAGGGCAGAGGATCAGATCCTCCTTGGGATCCATTGCCACAGACGGACCAGGCGCAAGCGCACGCGCAGATGCGTCCGATCCCACGGGCGACACGCGGCTTCCTCCCACTAGCCGCGGCACGTCCCCAGCTCCACGCCAATCATCACCTGCCACTTGGCAGCATGCAGCTGGCACAGGCAATGCCCGGTTCAGAACCAACACGTGTGCTTCAAGCGGCGGGCTCCAGACCGCCCAATCGGTGTGGGTTTCGGCGCAGGAGTGGGATCCAGTGTCGATCCTCCTGAGCAACCGACAGGCGCGGACTCCCTAGCAGATGCGCCATCATTGGAGAATGATGGGCCGGCCCACAGGCCAGTTTCTTCTGTGGATCCAGCAAGTACCGAGGCGCGGTTATCGGCCACAGAAAATCCAAACGCTGCTGTGGCAGAGGATCTCTCCTTGGGATCTGCTGTGGCTGACATCTCTGTGCAGCCCACAGGATCCTCTGTGGCCACAGAATTGATGGCTTCATCACCTCGGCATACACGTCTATAGAAAGGGGTAACAAAACCTGTAAATTACAAACATATAACCAAATATGGTATGATTTGCTCTACAGGTGAACCTACTACAGTTGAAGAGGCTCTTGGTGATGAAAAATGGAAGAAAGCTATGAATGAAGAGTACATAGCACTCAAGAAAAATAACACATGGCATTCGGTTCCTCCACAGAAAGGTAAAAATTTGATTGATTGCAAGTGAGAGTTTAGGATTAAAAGAAAATCCTATGGAACCATTGATCGTTATAAGGCTAGGCTTGTTACAAAAGGCTTCAAACAGCGGTATGGTATAGATTACGAAGACACCTTTAGTCCAGTTGTAAAAGCTGTCACTATCCGTCTTGTCTTGTCCATTGTTGTATCCAGAGGTTGGAGTCTCAGAAAGCTAGATGTGCAGAATGCGCTCCTCCATGGTGTTCTAAACGGGGAGGTGTATATGAAACAACCTCCTGGGTTTGAAAGTAAAAGTGATGCTTCTCATGTCTGCAAACTTGATAAAGCATTATATGGGTTGAAGCAAGCTCCAAGAACATGGTATTCCCGTCTCTGTCACAAAATGCGGGCACTTGGCTTTGTTCCCTCCAAGTCTGACACCTCATTATTTATTAACAAGAATTCCAACACATGCATATTTGTTCTCATTTATGTTGATGACATTATTGTGACATGCTCATCTAATGAAGCAATCATAGGACTCCTAAGGGACTTGGATGCAGATTTTGCCTTGAAGGATCTTGGAGACTTGCACTTTTTCCTTGGAATTGAGGTGAAGAGACACAAGGATGGACTTCATCTCTCTCATGAAAAATATGCAACTGATCTGGTAAAAAAAGGTTGGCCTGCAAGGCTGTAAACCCTCACCCACTCCTTTATCCAGTTTAGAAAAATTGTCTCTTACAGAAGGAACACCCTTGAATCAAGAGGGCATCACAAAATATAGAAGTCTAGTAGGAGCTTCGCAGTATCTCACTCTTACCAGACCTGACATTTCCTTTGTTGTCAATAAAGTATGTCAGTTTCTTCATGCACCAACTACTGTTCATTCGACTGCTGCAAAACGTATAGTTAGATATGTCAAGAACACTTTGGGTGTTGGTCTAAACTTCAACAGATCACCCTCTACTCTTGTCGGTGCTTTCTCTGACTCTGACTGGGCAGGATGTCTGGATGACAGAAGATCAACTGGTGGATTTGCAGTTTTCTTTGGACCTAATTTGATATCATGGTGTGCACGAAAACAAGCTATTGTCTCTAGGTCAAGCACAGAGGCAGAATACAAGGCATTAGCAAATGCTACAGCAGAGATCATATGGGCTCAGTCCATGTTAAAGGAGCTTGGTGTGAAAATCAAACAAGCTCCCTGCCTATGGTGTGACAATCTTGGTGCAACTAACCTATCTGCAAATCCAGTCTTCCATGCTAGAATGAAGCATATTGAAATTGATTTTCATTTTGTCAGAGAAAGAGTTTCTCAGAATCAACTTGACATTCGGTTTGTACACTCCAAAGATCAACTTGCCGATGGGTTCACAAAGGCATTGCCTGTATGAAGTTTTTAAAACTTCAGATCTAATCTCAAGTTGACCAAGTTGTGATTACGGGAGGGTGTTAAACCAGCACATTGTAACCTTGTCACGTGGTGTAACGTAGAGATAGATATACATCACGTGGTGTAACGTAGAGATAGATATACATGAGATAGTCTAGAAGGTAGTTGAGGCTATATCTTTTCTGTTGTAACTAAACTTATCTTCTCTTTTCTTTCTCCTCAAGATGTATCTCTATCTTCTCAATTGAATCATGTATGCGCTGTCATCAGGGTTATTGCGGCCCTGCTATATAACATGCAACACGTCGCCCAGGCTAGGGTAAGACGTTTCTGCCAGTCGCACACAGTACACATACTTTTTGAGTAACTTTCAGCACTTTCATTTTTTTCGTATAGAGCTCCTTGAATATCATTTGACCACCAAACTTTGCAAGATTCTATAACATTTGTTCATAGTCATTCCCACAAAGTTTCAGATTTATTTTGAAATGTTTTGCTATGTTTTCTTGCAGAGGTATAGCGGGGGTGCACCGAGCTGGGTGTAGAAAAACCACTCTCATGTATTACTCCCTCCGTCCCACATTTTATTACATCCAATATACTCATATACTAGATGTAATAAGATCTTATATTATGGGACAGGGGAGTATATCTCAAGTTTTTGTGCTTATCGTCCTGTAGAAGAAAGCAAAGTCCTTACATTTTGCATGTAGCTACATTTATTTTCCTTGACTGTGAAAATCAATGGCGCCTTCTTACTACTACATCCGTGCAATGTCCTTGTTATACTGATCTATCCATCCATGTATGATCTCAACTTCCTGTCTCCTTTGTTCTACAACCCAGTCTGGATCATCCTTGGTTGCAGATCTGAGGTCCAAATGATGGGCCCCTGAACATCACCACAACAAAAGTAGTCATCGTAAGTAAGTTTCAGAATACTTTTGACCTTGCATATTTTCTGCAACTTCATGTTTACCTTTCTCTGTGACGAGAGCAATGATGCTGGATGATATTTTCTTGAGCACCCTGATAGCAGTTTGACAGGAATACTATTAATATTTTTTACTGTGGTAAAATTGCTACCTAAATGGTTGAAACTATCAACATGAATAGATCAGATGGTGAGAAATCTTTTACTCCTACCCGCCTCCACTCCACGGGTCTCGCATCCCGTTGGAGAAGATGATGTTGCTCCCAAACCTCTTGAGAACCTTGTCAATTTTCTGCAGTGGGTCGTGCAATGCAGTACCTGGTGAGCACACATGCCACCTAAAGAGATGCTGCTACTGATATGTAAACACTGAAAATCGGAAGAAAAAAAACTTACATGGCCACCATATTGAGTAGTGATCCAGTGCATCCTTGGACGAACTCCGTAGAACATAAAGCAGCCCTTGGACCTCTTCTCAGGCATGAAGCTGGACGGTGGGAACATGCTCTCGTTCGACACTGTCATCGGCATGAACATCTCAGTGCAGGCCTGCAAAAGAGTTTGTTTCAGAAAACACATATATGATCTTCTCAGGCTTCATGTTATCAGTACACAACATACACATGTATGTGAGTCAGGCTTGTACCTGCCAGCCCCAGCCGTGGAGGGCATGAGGGTCATCACCACCCTCCACCTCGAAGCACTTCTGGTCGCCTGTGTAATTGTAGTATAGGCTCGCCGCAGCGAAAGCTTTGTCGATGACGTCTGCTCCGGGGGGAAAAGTATCAATGATCTTGCACATCTGCAGAAAGTCAGGAGAATTACATGCTCAGCAGAAAAGAATAAAAACAGGTCCTCAGACTCAGTTTGGTAGCTCTGAAACCCATGTTTCTCTCCTCATTCGTGATTCATTTGATGTAGTAATGCAGTCGAGAGTAAGGGTTGTAAATTAGGTTGCAAGTGGCTAACCTCCTTCACAGGATAAGCAGGCAGATTCATCATGAAATTGGCTGGGGTTGGATAGTCCACCATGGCAGTGGTGGTGAATGCTGCCCTTAGCCACAATCCCAGACGAGAAACGGAATGCACTGTCCTAAAATACATGAGATAGAGCAATGTCACCAACCCGAGTCATCGTTGTCGATTCGCCAAAGTATGATGTCCATATCCTCCGTTGACAAGATGAGATTTGCATGTCCAAAACAATATCAGTTGGACAAAGCTTACTTGCAGGTCCTGAAGGTTTTGCTGAGCTCCAAGAGGCCTGTCTCGTTTGATCCCCTCTCATCTAGCACATCCCAAACTGCCTTGATGACACTGAAGCAATTCAGGCTCTCAGACTGCAAAATTAGTTGGATGTTACAAACTTAGAATAAGCTGATTAAACACATTTATCTTTTTGGAAACTTGACTTGGAACAGCTACTAATCAAGCATCAATAAGACAAAGATGTCACTAGCAAGTGAATCATCATTCCCTTTCCTTGTTATATCTTGTCTCTGCCGTATTAGTACGTAATAGCTGTGTCACCGGGCATCATCAACTTGCATATCTTTGGACAAGTGAGGACCTTATTTGCAACCGCCTATTGATAGCCCTTCTGCGCGGTTGAGCGTCGCAATCAGGCTAATCCAAAAATGAACCATTAGACGTGGTGAACTCATTAAGGTAAGTCCTGATCACCTAGACATCCACATCATTAGCCATTTCAATCACGCACTTTAAATTCCATGTGTTCTTTTCTTGGAAAATTCCAATCAAACGTATCTGTTAAGCTACATCCTCATGAAGAAAAGGGCCCCCACCAATTCATAATTCACAACTGAAAACCACTAATGTGCCGCTAGGGTACTGATAACACGACAACAAGTGAAATTCACTACTAATAGTAATTCAGAGCCGACACGGCGTGACAACAAGTGAAATTCTGTATCCAGAGCAGAGCATGTTGATCTGCCATGCGTTATCATCACCAATAATTTGACCAGTGACACTGGGCCATCCATCCAGAAATTATTTGACCTACTTTTGAGGAAGTTAAAGCACGATGATGTTATGCAGTAGTAGTGATTAATTCCCATTATTACCTTGAAGTCCTGCGAGACAACGTCGTTGAAGCTAGACCATGGGGTGATGTCGTCGAACTGCAGGATCGGAGCAGAGGATGCCAGTGCTCCTATGGCGACATGGGGATACTTGAGCCTGAACCATGAAGCCAGCACTAGAAATAACAGGCATAAAATCATTGATTGTACTTTATTTTTGGAAGATCCATCCACACTGACAACATTATTAGTGTAGATTAGCTCATCCTAATTTTCTCTCAAAAAAATTATCACACGCATGGATATAATTGGCGATATGGGGAGACGTGTCGGTGATGGACATACTGCCGCCATAGGAGCCACCAAAGACGATGACGGGAGCGTTGACGGCGGAGAGGTTCTGCTTGAGGCTAACCTCCTTCACAGGATAAGCAGGCAGATTCATCATGAAATTGGCTGGGGTTGGATAGTCCACCATGGCAGTGGTGGTGAATGCTGCCCTTAGCCACAACCCCAGACGAGAAACGGAATGCACTGTCCTAAAATACATGAGATAGAGCAATGTCACCAACCTGAGTCATCGTTGTCGATTCGCCAAAGTATGATGTCCATATCCTTCGTTGACAAGATGAGATTTGCATGTCCAAAACAATATCAGTTGGACAAAGCTTACTTGCAGGTCCTGAAGTTTTTGCTGAGCTCCAAGAGCCCTGTCTCGTTTGATCCCCTCTCATCTAGCACATCCCAAACTGCCTTGATGACACTGAAGCAATTCAGGCTCTCAGACTGCAAAATTAGTTGGATGTTACAAACTTAGAATAAGCTGATTAAACACATTTATCTTTTTGGAAACTTGACTTGGGACAGCTACTAATCAAGCATCAATAAGACAAAGATGTCACTAGCAAGTGAATCATCATTCCCTTTCCTTGTTATATCTTGTCTCTGCCGTATTAGTACGTAATAGTTGTGTCACCGGGCATCATCAACTTGCATATCTTTGGACAAGTGAGGACCTTATTTGCAACCGCCTATTGATAGCCCTTCTGCGCGGTTGAGCGTCGCAATCAGGCTAATCCAAAAATGAACCATTAGACCTGGTGAACTCATTAAGGTAAGTCCTGATCACCTAGACATCCACATCATTAGCCATTTCAATCACGCACTTTAAATTCCATGTGTTCTTTTCTTGGAAAATTCCAATCAAACGTATCTGTTAAGCTACATCCTCATGAAGAAAAGGGCCACCACCAATTCATAATTCACAACTGAAAACCACTAATGTGCCGCTAGGGTACTGATAACACGACAACAAGTGAAATTCACTACTAATAGTAATTCAGAGCCGACACGGCGTGGCAACAAGTGAAATTCAGTATCCAGAGCAGAGCATGTTGATCTGCCATGCGTTATCATCACCAATAATTTGACCAGTGACACTGGGCCATCCATCCAGAAATTAGTTGACCTACTTTTGAGGAAGTTAAAGCACGATGATGTTATGCAGTAGTAGTGATTAATTCCCATTATTACCTTGAAGTCCTGCGAGACAACGTCGTTGAAGCTAGACCATGGGGTGATGTCGTAGAACTGCAGGATCGGAGCAGAGGATGCCAGTGCTCCTATGGCGACATGGGGATACTTGAGCCTGAACCATGAAGCCAGCACTAGAAACGACAGGCATAAAATCATTTACTGTACTTTATTTTTGGAAGATGCATCCACACTGACTACATTATTATTGTAGATTAGCTCATCCTAATTTTCTCTCAAAAAAGATTGTCGCACACATGGATTTAATTGGCGATATGGGGAGACGCGTCGGTGATGGACTTACTGCCACCATAGGAGCCGCCGAAGACAACGACAGGGGCATCGACGGGAGAAAGGTTCTGCTTGAGGCTGGTGATGAGGATGGCGAAGTCGGCGAGCGCCCGCGTGGACGTCAGGTAACCCAGCATGTCGGCCGACGTGTACCGATGCTGCACACAAATTTCAAACAAGTTAGTACTATTATACTAGTTGAACAAGTTTACAGTTAGTACTAATTAGTATTTTTCTTTTTTCCGTGAATACATAAAGCTTGCGTATCTTTTCATTGTGAGAAGGAAAATAGAGTGTAATTACTATGGATGCTAATTGGCATGACAACAACAAAATTTAAACAAGTGATTGCTATGGATGCTTAAACAACAGCAAAAATGGGTGTCTTGTCTCGAGAGAATCAGTAGGATAACCAAATTTTGGACCAGGGCGCGTGCGGTCACCGACGACATCAGCCATGGCAGAGGATGTGGCCAAAAGGGTACCTCGATGAAGACGAGGAGGGCGCCGAAGTTGGGCGCGATGTCGAACATGAAGCCGGTGTTGGCGGCGAACAATTCGATGTCGCCCTCGTTGCCGGTGTACACGAACAGCGGCCCGGCGGTGGGTTTCCGCCGCCAGAAGGTGTCGTTGAGGAGGTACTTCTGGGAGAAGACGCGGGAGGAGTTGGGCGTGAAGGTGAAGTGGTCCAGCTCCTGCGGGAAGTAGTGCGCCGTGAACGGCTTCGCGGGGGCCGTGGCGGCGGTGGTGTACCTGCCGCTCGAGCTTGCCGCCCGGTGCTGCTGCAGAGGAGCGAGTCCAGCAGGGAAAGGAGGAGGCTGGCTGGGAAGCTTGGAGGAGGTCGCTGCTGCTGCCAGTGGTGCGGGCGTGTTAGCTTTCTGTAATCTCTATTGTCACGATAGTTAGCTTTGTTTTCTGTTAATAATGCATGGCCGCATGTGGCGCGTGCAAGTAGCTAGGACGGGCGTGCTGCACTCTGCACACGATCCCGCGGTTTACCTGTTCTCCCGATCCGCAATAGCTGTGTGACGAGGCCGTGGGATGGCACGGCAGAATCGGATCATGGCCAGCGGATCGGGAGGTAGCTAGCGAGTTGACAACTGCTGTAACAAGAGATATAGCAGATGGGAATAACAGAAAACGCTGCAGCTTGTGGTGCGGCACAAAAACTACTGTCTTCTTCCTTCTGCCTCTCTCTGAACTTCTTCAGATTAGCGGCTACTGTAGCGATTTCGACAACAACAGTTGGCATCAGAGCAGCAGGTGTTTGATCTTGCGCCTGGTTGATCGAGTGGTGTTTGATCCACTGCGGTCATGTCGGACTCGGAAACGGAGGAGAAGAAGAGCAAGTCACCGTCGTCCAAGGCGCCGCTCGCGCGCCTCACCGGCAGCGGCAGCGGCGAGGTCCGCGTGGTGGAGCGCGTCGTGCGCGAGGAGACGGGGACGTCGATGATGCTGACGCGCACCAACTACCAGGAATGGGCGCTGGTGATGCAGGTAAAGCTGCAGGTCGCCCGCGTCTGGCCTGCGGTGACCGGCGACGCCGCCGACGAGAATGATGATCGGCGCGCGCTGCAGATCCTTCTTACCGGCGTCCCGCCGGAGATGCTGCGCGTGCTGGCCGCCAAGGACACAGCGAAGAAGGCATGGGAGACAATCAAGACCATGCGCATGGGCAGCGAGCGCGCCCGCGAGGCCAAGGCGCAGGTGCGCCGGCGGGAGTTCGAAGATCTCAGGTTCAAGGACGGCGAGTCCGTCGAGGACTTCGGGCTGCGGCTTTCGGCCCTTGTCGCCGATCTGGAGCTGTACGGCGACACGGTCTCCGAACACAAGGCGGTGCAGAAATTTCTTCGCGTGGTGCCGCGGAGGTACCGCCCGATGGCCATGGCGATCGAGTCCCTGATCGATCTGAAAACCATGACCATCGAGGAGCTCGTCGGCCGCCTCTCCGCCTGCGAGGACCACTACGACCTCGACGATGGAGCGCAGAACGCCGGGCGTCTCTTGCTCACTCATGAGGAGTGGCTGGCCCGTGAGAAGGCGGGCGGCGGCGGAGGCTCGTCGTCAAGCGGTGGCGGCGGCAACACCAGCAAGAGCAAGGCGACCGGCAAGGCCAAGGCCCAGGGCGCTGGCAAGAGCACACCGGGCAATGCCGGGTCAGGCGGCTTTGGCGGATCCGGCGGCAAGAAAAAGAAAGGAAAGTGCCACCATTGTGGCATCCCAGGGCACTGGAAGAAGGAGTGCAGGACCTGGCTGCGGGAGCAGGAACAAGCGGGCAAGCGAGAACAGGCCAACTTAGTGCGCGCCGGCGACGAACACGACCAGGGCCTGTTCATGGCCATGGTCACCGGCATCAGCACCACCCACGTCGTCGCGCCGCAGGCCGTCTACCTCAACGAGGAGAAGCTCGTCCCCGTGCCATCGGCGGAGGGCGTGTGGTACTTTTACACAGGGGCGAGCAGCCACATGACTGGCGAGCGGCACGTGTTCGCGACGCTGGACGAGACCGTGCATGGCACTGTCAAGTTCGGGGACGGATCGACCGTGGCGATACGCGGACGTGGCTCCGTCGTGTTCCGCAGCCAGAGTGGTGACCAGCGGGCACTCACTGGGGTGTTCTACATCCCGAGCCTGCGGAGTAACATACTCTCCGTGGGTCAGCTCGATGAGGGCGGGTGCACGGTCGACATCAAGGACGGCATCATGACGATCCAGGATTCAGCGCGGCGCGTCCTAGCCCGCGTCAAGCGCACGGCGACGCGCCTGTACACCGGCGTACTCACGATCGACACGCCCACCTGTTTGCTCTCGAAGAGCAACAACGTGACCTGGCGGTGGCATGCACGCCTGGGTCATCTTCACTTCCGGGCGCTGCGTGCCATGTCCACCAAGGGCATGGTCAAGGGCATGCCGGAGATTGACCGCGTGGCAGAGTACTGCGATGGTTGCATGCTCGGGAAGCAGCACAGATCGTCGTTCCTGCGGGCCACGGAGTACCGAGCGGAAAAAGGCCTAGAGCTCGTCCACACCGACTTGTGCGGTCCGATATCGCCGGCGACGCCGAGAGGTAACAAGTATTTTATCCTCGTCATTGACGATCACAGCCGCTATATGTGGGTGGAGCTTCTGAAGTCGAAGGATGAAGCGTTCGACCGTTTCAAACGGATCAAGGCCATAGCCGAGGCGGAGGGGCAGTGCAAACTGCGCGCGTTCCGGTCGGACCGGGGCGGCGAGTTCAACTCCGGCGAGTTTGCGGAGTTCTGCATCAACCACGGCGTCAAGCACTTCACCACGGCCCCGTACACGCCCCAACAAAATGGGGTTGTCGAACGCCGCAACCAAACCGTCGTCGAGATGGCACGGTGCATGCTAAAGAGCATGGCCATGCCGGCGCTCTTCTGGGCGGAGGCGGTGAGGACGGCCGTGTACATCCTCAACAGGACGCCAACGAGAAGCCTCACCGGAGTGACGCCATATGAAGCATGGCGCGGACGACCGCCCACGGTGCAGCACATGCGCACATTTGGCTGCACGGTGCATGTCAAGAGAACCGGCCCCGGCATCACAAAGCTCTCCGATCGCTCAACGCCCATGGTGTTTGTTGGCTACGAAGAAGGCACAAAAGGGTACAGGGTGTATGATCCCAGTACTAACAAGGTGCAGGTGACGCGTGATGTGCTGTTCGAGGAGAGCAGGCCGTGGAACTGGGAGGCTCACAGCGCGCCGAGCGTGGTCAGCGCGCCGCGCACATTCACCGTCGAGTACATCACCGAGTACGGCACCACGGAGGTCGACACGGGAGAGACGTTCACCTGCACGCCGCGCTCCGTGACGACCGCGGCGCCCGCGACGCCGGTGTCGCGCACTCCGGGCACGCATGACGCCGGGCCCTCCACTCCAGCGGCGGAGCCAAATTCGCCAGAGTTGAACACACCCGTGGCGACTCGAGATGCAAAGTGGGTCACGCCACTCACACACGACGACGGGTGTGACGTGGAGAGTGGGCAACCACGCCGCTACCGGCGGACGTCCGAGGTGATGGCAGACACGGAGGAGGAGGCCGTCTACGACCAGTTCGACTGCTGCTTGCTCGTGCGCTGCTTGTTCAGTGCCGAGGAGCCGCGGGATGTGGACGAGGCCCTCACGGACCAGGCATGGAAGGACGCCATGGACAGCGAGATGCAGTCCATCAATGACAACAACACCTGGGAGCTTGTCTCGCTGCCTGCCGGACACAAAGCAATCGGGCTCAAGTGGGTGTACCGAGTCAAGCGCGATCCGGCGGGCAACATCGTCAAGCACAAAGCCCGCCTTGTCGCCAAGGGATATGTACAGCGTCAGGGGGTGGACTTTGAGGAAGTTTTCGCTCCCGTGGCACGGATGGAAACTGTCAGACTGCTGCTCGCGCTCGCCGCGCACTCTGGTTGGGAAGTTCATCACATGGACGTAAGGTCGGCATTTCTGAATGGCGAGCTCAGTGAAGAGGTTTACGTGGCACAACCGCCGGGATACGTCATCGCTGGCAGGGAGCAGAGTGTGTTGAAGTTGCGGAAGGCACTGTATGGCCTGCGACAGGCTCCACGAGCATGGTATGCAAAGTTTGATGATTCCATGGCGTCATTGGGTTTTACTCGCAGCCCTCTCGAGCATGCAGTGTATCGCCGCGGTGACAAGCAATCCTTCTTGCTGGTGGGTGTCTATGTAGATGATCTTGTCATCACAGGGACAAGCCTGACAGAGATCGAGGAATTCAAGCGACAGATGTGCCAGTTATTTCAGATGAGCGATCTTGGCCGTCTCAGTTACTATCTGGGCATAGAAGTGGAACAAGGAGATGGGGTGATCACACTCAAACAGCAGAGCTACGCCGGAAAGATCCTGGAAGTGGCCGGTATGAGTGATTGCAACAGCTGCACCACTCCCATGGAGTGCAGACTGAAGCTGATCAAGGAAGACGGGGGTAAACCTGCAGATGCAACACTGTATCGCAGAGTTATTGGCAGTCTTCGCTACCTGGTAAATACCCGTCCTGACATAGCTCATGCAGTTGGGATTGTCAGCCGTTTCATGGAGAAGCCAAGTACTCATCATTGGGCAGCCGTCAAACAAATTCTGCGTTACATAAAGGGCACAATGAGCTATGGCTGTACCTACAGAGCAGGAAATGGCGATGCACACTTGCTTGGGTTCAGTGATTCTGATCACGGGGGAGATGTTGGAGATCGGAAGAGCACTTCAGGTCAGGTCTTCTTCCTCGGTAAGAATCTAATCACATGGAGCTCCCAGAAACAGAGAATTGTCGCTCTCTCCTCTTGTGAAGCAGAATATGTGGCAGCATGCGCAGCTACTTGTCAGGGTGTATGGCTCAACAGTCTGCTAGCAGACATGAAGGGAGAAACACCGAAGAGCTTCAAACTGATGGTGGACAATAAATCAGCGATTGAGCTAAGCAAAAACCCTGTTCACCATGACCGCAGCAAGCACATTGACATCAAGTTTCACTATATCCGTGACTGTATGGATGCCGGAAAAG